ACCAAGAAAAACTTTACAAAAATGCATATTCTAATAAAAGTATCTAAAATCAAACAGTATACGTAAATTTATTTTAAAAAGACAATTCAATTTCCATATTTTTCACATGAAAATGTGCATTATATGGTACCATTTGTATGGTAAAAGTTAAATGAGCAAAATAAAGGACAAAATTGAGTTTTTGAAAAATAAATAAATCTAAAGGACAGCTTTCTGAAATGAAGGACCGTCCTTTATAATAAAAGATGTATGGTCACTGTAATTATACTACATGATGAGGTGATGAAAGAAATCATTTTTTCTCTGTGAAAGAACATAAGTCATGGTCTTAACTTTAACTACATTAAACAGTTCTTCAGCAGCTGTTTGACTTGTGTAATTAGTGCTACTTAATCTGGTTTGCAACAATCTAGACAACCACTAGACGGCACAGAGATTATGGTTTTCTCTACCTCTTTGCTTCCTCTGGGCTAAATCAGATAATTCTACTTTTGCCTTAGTACAACGAATGCTTCAAACTGAGTTCAGCTCCTGGACTTCAAGGTGAGGAAATACTGAGCTAGGACATCTCCAAAGGAGCAGAGACGATGGTGTGGCCAAGACTGATGGGCCGGCATTAAATCTGGTCCAATGGAACCTCTCCAGACAAGGAGAGACCCATTTGGCTGCTCCTTGTGAGGAGACTATAGGATGGCGGTCAAGTTGTGGGTTTGAGCTCTGGGAGATGAGGAAAGCCATCAAGTTCTCAACCGCAGCAGAGTGTATATGGACACTAGGTTTATTAAACCTCACTTTCCAAACACCTTTGGAATTTAAGCATTTTAAAGTTAAAAGCAGTTTAAGCAGCAGTTCTGAGCAGCAGTTCCAAAAAAACTATTTGGTGAGTGATCCTTCATTCAAAAAGAGAAGAGAAAAGAGAAGAAAAGAAAAGAATTAACTTAAAGAATTTAAGGAATATAAAGTTAATGGCAAAAAGCTGGATAAGAATTTAATTTAAGAAAGTTTTAAACGGCCTAAGGGACCAGACAAATTTGGAATATTAAGACTTTTGATATAACATTTTTGAAATAAGTAAATAAATACCTTTATGGGAACATAAACTGTTTAGTCTTTTAAGGAAAAGATGACTGGTTGATTTCTCAAAACAAAGAAATAAAATAAATTTGAGACAGATCATGTGATCATAGAAATACAAAACATTAGAGGTAGCTAAAGATCCCAGGCAAGAAAGAGAGAGAGAGAGAGAGAGGGAGGATGAGAGAGAGAGAGAGAGAGAGAGAGAGAGAGAGAGAGAGAGAGAGAGAGAGAG